GGGGCATTGTCCCCTGGAAGCATTCACCATCCTGTGTTTAGATGGAGGAGGCGACAGCAGCTATTCTAAGCTCTGCGTCTGTGTACACATCACCACTGTGGATTCCAGGAGAGACGTGGTGCTGAAAATCAAGAGCTCATGGCCCCAAACACATCTGGGAGCAATGGGCCATCATCTGACCGGTGGTGACAATGTCCTGAGACATACCCACATTTGAAGATTATCCATCCAATGCTCTGATAAAGGGAACTCACATTTTAAGTAACTGGATTGTTCATAATATATATTAAGAAATTGTTTGTTCAAAAAGACTTCAATCGTTTTGTGTTTTAATAGTTGGTGCTTTCAAGTAAAAGCAATGTTAATTGGCCACCTAGGGTTCAATTTCAAATCCTGCCTATGGTTTTAAGTGCCTAAGATATTTCGAAGTATTTTTCAAAGTTCATGGAAAAATGAAAGGGGAAATTTATTTTGGTATAAACAGTTCTGAAAATCATGCATAATTTTTTCATAATATGCATTTTCCACAAACTTTTGAAAAAACACTCCACCCCCACATAAATTGTTAAATAAGGCATAACTTTTACTAACATGGCAGCATTTATATTACAACCTCAGAGACTTCTGTTCTTCTCTGCTTGCTACTAAATAACTTTTTAGATACTTGTTTTATGTTCTGTAGGAAAAAAAGCCACTGGGATTTGTATGGAAAGGGGAAAAGTGAGAGCAAGCAGCTTCCTGATAGCTGACCACCTAACAGCTTCATGGAAGGAGGCCTAACTACAGAGCAAAAGTGACAACCTCCCAAGTTCATTGGTCACTTAGTTCCGTGATGAAAATGCTGGGTCAGGAAATAACTATCCCAAATATTTGAACCTTGAAGCATAGTGATGATATGTTTTAGTAATGGGCTAGATTTAAAGCCCTCAACAGAAATACAGATGGTAAGAATGACTATGGATGGCAGCAATATCATTTTGCCAATTTTTTGTTATTGTCCTATCTGTGTGTTTTATGAGAACTTTTTTTTCCTAAAAATAGAGCTAATATATTAAGCATACTATAGAAACTTAGCAATAACAATATACCAACATTTTTACTGATATATCTAAGAAACTAAATTATACAAAATAACAACAAAACAATAACACGATCTCTTGCAAAAGGAAAAACATCTCTATTTGTGAAAAGACCATAAGAACAACAATTATGTTTGCTAATACTGTTTAATTGAATTGAGTTGGGGAAAATGTTTTAATAGTTATTACTCAGCAGCATATAAATCAATCTAAAGATCAAATTTATCATGAGTATGGAGTGAGGTTTGCATGGGAACCATTCCTTTCAATAATATGGAGTTGGCATTCAAGAAGGAGAAGCACCTATTCACTTTCCACCATCACAGTCTTTGGTATTACCTATTTGTGACTGGGCCACCATAGTTGACTTCCGATCACAAAGTGGGGAAAAGGGAAGCCCTAATTCAGCTTCTTTATCTCCCTGGGGAAAGAAAAGCACATTAGTAAAAACTTGAAATGGAGAAGCTAAGATAATAAGCAGCCTAGAACAAAACCTTAGAAGCTGCTCTTTCATTTAATTGACACTATTTTTTCATATATAGAACAAAAAACTGTATTCCACATTTATATATTTTTTTTCTTGGTATCATTTTGGGGAACTTTGTTGGGGAAAAAAATACAAACATTTTTAGTACTTGGAGACTTTTGTTTACAACCCCTTGGTTGTAAAGAGACAAACAGCTCTCTTGAATTTCTAATCACCACAAAATCGTCACCTCAGTGTGTTATTTGGCATTTAATTAACAATTCAACTCATGGGTTTTTCTGCTTCTTTGAAAAAATTTTTAAATCCCAAAATACATTGCATATCTTCAGTGTAAAGATTTCATAATTTGATTGCTTTTTTGCTATTAAAAGTCTATGAGCATTTTGAAATATCTCTCTATTTTGTAACCAAGTTTTATTAAGTCTCCCACAACAAGGAAAAAAGAATATTTTCAACATTCTTACACTGTGTGTGCATAATTTTATTCTGATATATGATTCTCAGAGACAATGGAAATGTCAATGATTTTTTATTATTTGATCTAAAGTAGATTAATTGATTGCGTAAAAGAATATGTTTGGCTTTAACATCATGAAAGGTAATTAGATTTTCATCTCCTAAAATAAAAGTGGCTGCTCTTGGTAAACATTTATTAGTAAAATTTATCTAAAACTGGGTCTTTCCTTTGTATTCAAGGGGACAGGCATATACATGAAAGAAGAGAGAAGATGTTTCCTTGTATCTGTCCACTTCAATTGTCTGGCCATTTGAAAGATTGTTTTGGGCTCTCTTTTCTCCTGTTTTATTGGCTGTATACTTTCATGAGTTACACCAGCTCACATAAGTCAAAATGCTCCCCTCCTGGGAGGTGACTTCTCATTTTCCATAAAATGCTCCTCCCCTCCTGGGAGGTGACTTCTCATTTTCCTTCTTTACATCTCTTTCCCCAAGCACACACACCCTATGGCAAAAAAAGAAAAAAGAAAAAAAGTAAAAAAAAGAAAATGGAAAGAAAGAAAAAGCAAAAAAGAAAGAAAGAGAAAGAAAAAGATAAGAGAGAACGAAATACAGAAATCTTGAGAAGCCTCTTCCATGAAAACTTAAGCTGTAGTCACAGAAACTGCACTGACAACAAACTACGGCCTAGGGGACATCATAAGGCTGAGAGCTGAGTCTGAGAGACCACCAGGTCTACTTGAGTATACAGTTGGAAGAGGACAAGATACACCTGCTAGTTCAGCCTTCTTTGTACAACTTATTTAAGCCAGTTAAGACATGGAATCACCTTCTTCACCTCTCCTAAAAACAGGCCCTTTTAAAATTTGAATATGTAATCAAATTGTTTAAGTGTTTAATGGATATAGTGACAAACACTTTTAATAAAATTTATACTATGGCATAATTGTATTTTTTGTTAGTTTTAAAAATATTTTATAGAGTGTTAAAACCCCCTGTGTAATTGTACTTGATGTTTACAGCACTTGTATGCCTCTCAAAACTAGAAGTTTTGATTTTTACATTTTAAATTATTATCTTGGTTCATAGCTACAGTTCTTTACTTTTATGCAATTTGGAGTATTATTTCTATTTTTTTTAATGTCAGATCCTTGCCTCTCAATGAGCTAACCAATGCAATTTATTGCTATGAAAAGTAAAATTAATTTTAAGATAACAAATTTATACTGTGTTAAAAGTTTGATGTCCTTGGGACCAGCAGGTGGCGTGGTGGTTAAGGCGCTGGACACTCCCACATGGCTGATTACGGTTCTAGTCCTGGACCTGGTAGTTCACTTTCTTACTTTCTCATTCTCTTTCTCTCTCTCTCTCTCTCTCTCTCTCTGTGTGTGTCTCTCTCTCTGGTCAAACTAAAGTAAATGAATGAATAAATAAAATAAAATTAAATTAAATAAATAATTCTTTTAAAAAAAGAGTTTGATCTCGCCAAATTTACATGTTTGGACTTGCTTATTATGTAAAAATGTTAAGTGAAAGCTTAATCCTTTCATTATATTCCAGACTGGGGTCTTGGGACATGACTCATTGGGGTAGAGCCCCATAATTGAATTCTGAGAGGCTTACCAGTGGGGAGGAGACCAGAACAGTCAGAATATTATGGATACCACTCAGCTCAAGACCATGCTCTTTGTCATGATGTAGCCTTGCCTGAAGTTCATTCCTGAAACTTGGATCTAGAAACTGTGAGTTGAATAAACTTCTATCCTATTGGCAATGCAATAATGGACTAATATATACTACTTCTAATAATGATGAAGAAAAAGAGCAACTTGGAGATATATATCTTAGTGTAAAATAACCACTCTGACCTTTCTTTTCAAATAACTTATATTTTCAATGCCTTTTCTTTGGCTAACAAGGTGATAATAATTATAGATTTTATATAAATTTTTGTGTGTATTGCAAAATAAGTAGTTGAGGAATGGAAAACCACAGTACAATATTGCAATAGAAGAGATTATTTTGTAAAAAATTTAACCATGTTAATTTCTTATCTTTCTAATTTAGCATGTATTCAAGAAGAAAATGGGAAGAAATAAAATCTGTCATTTCTAATGGGCAGTCTTTGGCTGGTGCTTCCATGTCTGTTTCTCTGTCCTGTTAGTCACAGTTGACACGAATAGAGATCTTCCAACTCCACACATGACGGTCAGAGGGCAGCAGCAGCTGTGTTGGTCTGGGCAGACATTTGAGAGAGGGCATTAATCGTATCAATGACTCTCACAAGAGACTAAGGGCCTCGGAAATGAGAATTTCCTTACCTCCTCTACCACCAGCTGCTTCCACAAGAATCCGAAATAAGCATTTCTCAGGACTGCAAATTCTGTATACAATTCTGATCTCTTATTGAAATTTTCCATGGCTTTAGGGGGTGAGCCTAACTAAAGTAGTTGCACCAAAAATTAGAGTAATATTGATGGTGTTTTTAAAAGATAATATGAATAGCATGATCTACATTGGTTTGTCCACCAGAAACACACTGTGTTTTAAAAATTCTTAGTGTCCATTTAAGTTCACTTGTTAGATAAAAATCAACAAATTAATAAATTGATATAGAAGTCAACATATTCTAAAACTCCTCTGCATTTTTCTGAAATATTAATTCACATACACACAACTTGTTAATCTCACAAGTACTAAAACTCAGCTCTTTTTTGAGTACATTTTCTGAGTTTTTGAATTAATATCTAGTCTCTAATTTTGCTCAAAACTCTTGAAGCAATTCTAAACCTGGTACTCTATTTGGCAAAGAGAAGAATATTTCTCTTAATTGGTTACTTTTTTTTTGGCCATAGGGTGCATGGACTAGCCGGAGAGAGACAGAGGGAGAGAGAAAGTGAGAAATTCTCCCCCTCCTCACCGCACTGCAGGGAAAGTGAGAAATCAGCCCCCAAGAGGATGACCGCTGAAATCCTTTCTCCTCCATTCTCCTCCTGGGATTCTGGGCACTCACACACATGTTCCCTGTGTGACTATTATGCAGCCAGATCCCATTGGTTGGCCATGTGAAAGTCCAACACCTTACCTACCATATGACTTGTTGACTCCAATTGGTTACGTTTTCAAATCTATGATTGTGCTCAGAATGGGTGTTTTAACTTGTGTCCAGATCTGCCAAGGTTCGTCTTTAAGTAACTATCAAATAACAAAATATTCACAATCGATAGCTCTTTAGAAAAATATAAAGCTTAAAATAGACCAGAAAGATCATAAATGTTACCAATTTCTCATATTTTATATCACAGTTTACAGGGTACAAATCCCTTGTACATTCATTCTATCATTTTATTCTTTACAATCATCAGAGAAGGAAGAATTGGTGTGAGTAAGAAGGTGTAGTTATTATAGATACAGGTAAGAAGGTGAAGGCTCACATCATCCACAGCCAGAAAGATGGCAGGTCCAGTAATCTCTCTATATTATTAGGCTTCTTACATTTAACCAACATACATAAAACAATTTATTTTTTTAAATTATTTTATTTAACTTTATTTATTTACTCATTCATTTTATTTCATTTTGACCAGAGAGGGACAGAGCAAGAGAGAGAGAAAGTGAGAAAGCAAGCCACCAGGTCCGGGACTCGAACCATGGTCGACCATGTGGGAGTCCAGTGCCCCTAACCACCATACCACCTGCTGACCCCACATAAAACAATTTCTTTAACAAGAAACACAAGGCATTCAGATTTATACTGCAGCTGAAGGTTAGGATGAGTTATGGACAGACATTTGGTTAACCTCAAAATCTCTAGCACAGCAGTGGATCAAGTATTTAGATTCTTAGCCCATTCTGAAGAAATAAACATATTAGCAAATATTTTATGAAAGTCTTATTTTTACTGTCTGAGATAGCCCATTACACTGGCTAAATGTAGCCAGAAGGTACTGTGGTTTCAACAAATTGATAGTTTCGCAGATGCTCATATGAGGAGCAAAGTAAGAAAACACATGCAAAAAACATAGTCCTGTCAGTTTCAAGGGCATCTGCATAGATATGCAGATTATAGCTTGTGTCAGATCCAGTTAGAACACTGCATACTCCAAGGAGTTTGCGATTCACTGCTCTATCCACCTAAGAGGGACTGAAATATGTGGCATGGCTAAGGATAAGTAAGGGTTCTAGAGGTGCATTTAGTTGGTTGAATGCAAGAAAAAGGTTTACCTTCTGGAATCAATATCAAATTTTAGTGTAAGTCTCATAAAGATAAACTTATTCTCTTGAGAAACATACTTGTTGGCAGTGTAAGAGCTCTGGTTTTGACCTTTTAGTATACATTTTCCACTTTTGCTGTGTATGTTCCTAAAGAGGATTTAAAACTTTTTCACTTTTTAAAACCTAGAACTGAGAAATCAATTCAAGATTTTGCTGTTTAAAGCTCAAGTCCTAAATCAATTTACAATGATCTAAGAGGACTC